TGACATTCCTCTTTTATCAAAGGAAAATTGGCGACAAGAGGCCACCCTTCTTCTTGGCTAAACAGGACTGAGTGGTTATGGGCGTGTTTAGGATGGTTTGATTTACCAGTATGCGAAGGGGAGGCTCCTTGCCCCCTATGGAGGTGAGCCTCCCTGAGGCTGAGGGGGCCCCGAAGCCCTCCACCCCCCCACTTCTCCTGTTTTTCCATTCTCACACGTCCATCAGATGCTTTCACTTACTCTGCAAATTAGGAAGTCACATATGGGGGATCCCTGGGTGGCTCAGAAGTTTAGCACCTGCCTTTGGCCCAGGGCGCGATCCTAGAGTCCCGGGATCGAGTCCCACATCGGGCTCCCTGCATGGAGCCTGCTTCTCCCTCTGCCTGTGTCTCTGCCTCTCTCTCTCTCTCTCTCTCTCTGTCTATCATAAATAAATAAATTAAAAAAAAAAAGGAAGTCACATATGGAACTGCAGCCTGTGTTGCCTTGGTCCACATTTATTATTACTTTCCCTTTACAGTCAAGGGCAGAGGCTGTCTTTTCGATCTCAATTTTGTTTCTAGAGGTTTTTTTTTTTTGGTTTTTTTTTTTGGTTTTTTTTTTTTTTTTTTTGTCCTTAATCATGCAAACCACCTCTAGTGGTTTTGCTTTGGATTTGAATGTAAATCATTACCCGCGGTAAATTTCATCGGTGTATTAAAAATGACACCTTATGTAACAATTGGCTGTAAGCACGACAATAAAAAGGATGTAGGTATTTATTTAATGTCGCACTAAATTAGTTTGATCTTCACCCCTCGTCATTTCCTTTTGGAATGATGGTTGGGCTCCCGCATAAACCAACTGTGAGCCACGGGGAATCTTAAATCCCTTGGAGCTTAGAAGTCAAGAGGCAGCTCTCTCCCTTCTAGTTCCTGGTGAGTTCTAGACTCCGATTCCTACGTAGAAGTCACTTGGGGGAGTGCCTGGCAAACGCTGAGTGCCAGCGAAGTGTTTGCTGTTATTTTCTGTTGCAAAGGAAATGAGTCCCCGGTGGACCACCGTGTCCCCTTTGATGCTGGGCCACTTGCATTTGTCCTCCTCAGCTCACCTCATACCCCGACTCCAAGAAATGTTATGACTTTATGACATCTGGTCTGTAGTGAAACTGAAATTAAAAAAACAAAGACTGAAACAAGGCCCCCTCGCCAACTTCCCTTAAGAAGGACTCCTCTTGAGGAGGATTCGGGGCTCCCGGGGATAGGATTTGGAGTTTTCTTCTTGGAGGCAGCTAAGTGGATCCTCGTGCTTGTACCACTAACTGACTCCGAATGGTGGCTGGGACTCTGCAGTGTCCGGTGGCCTTCGGGATGTGATGCAACAAGTACCAGCAGCTCCTCAAATTGCCTATAAACAAATACTGTGATGGAAAGCTTTCCTGGTTCCAGATTTTAAACTAAGTAAAAACCGAACATACCAGTGCTAGTTTCACAACGTTAAAGTGTGTTTCTAAGATACCTCCTGTGAATGTCACACGGCTACGAAGCTGCAAAAACACACAGGGTCATAGCATCTAATTAAATCATTGAATTCTATTGTTGTTGTAAATATAACTGGTGTCTTTCAAAACAGAAACAAAACAACTATCATCCAGATTGTGAATAAGGAAATAATGCAAATGTTTATATTCAGACAGATCAAAGTGTTGTTGTTGTTGTTTTTTAAGAATTTATTTACTCATGAGAGAGAGAGAGAGAGAGAGAGGCAGAGACACAGGCAGAGGGAGAAGCAGGCTCCATGCAGGGAGCCCGACGCGGGACTCGATCCCGGGACCCAGGGTCACGCCCTGGGCCGAAGGCAGGTGCGTAGCCACCCAGGGATCCCCAGCCAGACGTTAAAGTGTTTCTAACGTTTTGTAAAACACGCCCGTCAGCGACATGTGTTAATTAGGAAACTTCTCTCTCCGGAGGTGACAGGCCATTCGGTGTTTCTCTGGGGCTGGGGCGGGGCGCGCTCAGCCCAGCATCCCCACCTCTTAGCCCGGCCCGTAGGAGGCGGTTCCCAGCTCGCAAACAGCTGGACTCCCAGGTGGAGAGTTAGTACAGCGGAGCACCTGCCCTCCCCTTCGACCCCTTTCGTGTCACAAGGGGCATTTAAGCAGATGAAGCCGCGGTGTACTCAGCCGTCATACATAACTCATCTGGCTGGAAGCGCGACCCAGGGGCCGGTGTCAAGCACATCGCCAGAGGGGGACGTGACTCGTCTGTGCGGCCCAGCACCCAGGCGCCCTTCGACGCTGCCCCCCGTTTCCCCCGTGGATCACCCTTCCCTCCTCTCCGGCTGTGGGGTTGAGTTAGCCTTGCCCCGTGCTTCCTTCCCGGGGCTCATGTTCTGGCCCCCGAGCCCGGCCTCCAGGGCCCTAGTGACCGACACAGTCACCAGCCGGGCCAGGGAGACCCAGAAGGGCCTTCGCTGGGCGCGGGGTGAGGCCGCAAAACCACAAAACCCAGGCAGCTTTCCATGTCTCCTCCGGGAGCACCCGGGAAGGGACGTGGCCGTGTCCTCAGGACGGGGCATGGGGCAGGCGAGGCCCGAGGGCTCAGGGAGCGGGGGAGCCGGCTGGCGGGGGGGGGGGGAGACACTGCAGGTGCAGCTGGCGGCCGAGGCGGGGGACCCAGCGCGAGCTCTCGGCAGAGCCCCCCTGCAGCCAGCCATGGCTCAGGCCCCCCAGGGCCCCCACGGCTCGGTCCCTCCAACGCCGCTGAGCCAGGCTGCGGTCGGGGCCCCAGGCAGCTCAGGCCGGGGCTCTCGCTGGTGGCCCCGGGGGCCTGTGCGGCGACGGGCAGGGCAGGTGCAGGGCCAGCTCAAGGATGGCTCGGGCGCTGGTGCTGGTGGGGGGCCGGGGGCACAAGGAGAAGCCGGACACACGGCCTGGGCCACCCGCTCGGAGCCGGCAGGCCGCCGGGTTCTCCCCACACGTTGGCAAGGTAATCACGAAGCCCCTTCTAGTTAGTAGACACAATTGGTTGCCAACGGGAACTCTTCTTTAGCTTTACAAAAAAAAAAACCTGCTTATTTTCAATGCAGACAGAGTAGATTTACTGCACACACACACAAAGACATGAAAACAAGTGTCTCTCAGGTCATTCTGATCAACGGATGCTAAAGATTGGCAAACTACTCTCTTAAATAAGCACTGTATTTATTCAGTTGTCACTTCTGAGTGTCTCGTTTATAAATAATATCTTTCTGGTTAAACTTTAAGAGTCACAATGAAATGTTTTGCCTTGAATTTAAGATTAGGCAGGCCTGAGACATTTTCCATGGGTTTGCTCTTTTTTTTTTTTCACAAACAATTGCTCTGCCCGGGTAAATAAAAATGGAAAAGCAACAGAATGAGACCTTTGGACAAGGAAACATTTCTTTAGCTCATTATAAGAAAAGGAATATTCTTCTTTTGTCCTTTCTGAATTTAGAAAATTTTTTCCTATATAATACTGAAATATTTAACAATTCATTAAAAAAAAACATAAGTGTTTACATTAAAACACAACCTTAAATATAGCCCGGTAATTTTTACCAGGAACCTTGTAAAATATGATGAATATACATGCATGAATACCAAGCTCAGAAAGCCCGTTCAACATTCACATGGAAATGCAGCATTACATACTATATAATAAATATCCGGGATATCAGATTCACAAATTGATCGTTATTTTGATTTAGATTCTTTTATCCAGTTAACACTTCTACTGCATAATTTATTATAATAACCTTACAAGTTAAACGTAACTAATTAAAAGCAGAGCTTAACTGATCTGCTGAAATAACACAATTCCTCGATAGTCTGCAGCATATTTTAATCTATAACATGTAAAACTGTCATTTTGACAAGAAAAACACATTCATATGACTAACTACTCAACTTCTTTTTCAATGTTTAAAAAAAGTCAGAGTTAATAGTATGAAAAGAAACAGAAGCTAATCTTATTTCTGAGATGATTTTATTGCCTTAGTTCCTGGGCTCTGGCAATAAATGTCTTCAGTTTTAATATATATCATATAACTTAAATACTGTATTTACAAAATATATAACTTCTTTTTAGCAAAATACTATACAAAATACTGTCTTTACACATTTAAAGGGTGCTTCACCTTACAATGTATGAGAGCCCTTTGTGTTGTTACCTTTAATTTTCTCACCTGCTTTCAAGATCCCTCTCCTCCCCATTATTTCCGAGCTGGGGGTTTTCCTAGTAGAATCTGGCCTACCTCTGAAGAATGAAGCCAACTACGTCATACATGAACTAACTTGAATTTACATCTTAACAATGAAACCAAAGATAAGGAGATTGCTGTATGTCTTACTGAGATTTTTCTAGATAAATGCTCCTAGTGAAAAGGCACTTAAAATCCAAATCATACATTTCACTTCTTACGTCTGGAGTCTTCCCTTTTGTCTCTGAACATCTCTAGGAGACACTTTATAGGGATCCTGCATCACTTACGGAAATTCTTTTTAATCGCCTTTCTTCTGAAATGCATGAAAGACAAACTAAGCATCCACCACTTCTGTTAACCTGTCATCCTCTGTACGCGCGAGCAGTACGGTTTCTGCATCTAAGATACTGAGAGACTACATGAGCTCGTGTTTGCTGCTCCTTGCTGCTACAGGAGGTGTCTTTAAGATGCCTGCTAGCCACCCAGCGCTAGGGGTCCAGGCCAGGTCCACAGTCCAGGGCCTCGTCCTGAGTCTGGACCAGGTGTCCTGTGCGGAGGCTCCTTCCTGGCTTGGCTTGTTCAGGAGCCGGATTAGCTTCCCGAAGGTCGATGGATGCCTCCAAACCAGCAAGGGAGGAACCCACAGGTCCTCAGCGGAGGCACGCCCCAGACTGCGCATGCTCAGCCTGGGCCTGGGCAGCGGGGCGGGGGCCGGGGGCCGGGGGCGGGGCCCAGGCAGCCAGCGGGGGGCGGGGCCAGGGACGGGACCCCGGCAGCCAGTGGGGACCGGGGGCGGGGCCCGGACAGTCAGCGGGGGCGGGGCCAGGGGTGGGGTCTGGGCTGCCAGCGGGTGTGGGGGGCCCGCTGGGCAGCCGGTGGGGGCCATGGGAGCAGCCCAGGGGCGGGGCCAGGGCAGCCAGCAGGGGCGAGGACGGGGTCCGGGCAGCCAGTGGGGGCTGGGGGCGTGGCCTTGGCAGTCAGCGGGGGCGTGGCGTGGCCTGGCACCCAGCGGGGGCGGGGCCAGGGGTGGGATCTGGGCAGCCATTGAGGGCCAGGGGCGGGGCCGAGAGCAGGGCCCAGGCAGCCAGTGAAGGTCGGGGGCGGGGCTTGGGCATCCAGCGGGGGCCGGGGGGCGGGGCCTGGGCATCCAGCAGGGACTGGGGGCGTGGTCGAGGGCGGGGCCCGGGCGCCAGTAGAGGTCGGGGGCGGGGCTTGGGCAGCCAGCGGGGGCCGAGGGGCGGGGCCTGGGCATCCAGCAGGGGCTGGGGGCGTGGTCGAGGGCGGGGCCCGGGCAGCCAGTAGAGGTCAGGGGCGGGGCTTGGACAGCCACTGGGGGCCAGGGGGCGGGCCCTGGGCATCCAGCAGGGGCTGGGGCGGGGCCGAGGGCGGGGCCCGGGCAGCCAGTAGAGGTCGGGGGCGGGGCTTGGGCAGCCAGTGGGGGCCGGAGGGCGGGGCCTGGGCATCCAGGAGGGGCTGGGGGCGTGGTCGAGGGCGGGGCCCGGGCAGCCAGCAGGGGCTGGGGGCGTGGTCGAGGCGGGGCCCGGGCAGCCAGCGGGGCCCGGGCAGCCAGCGGGGGCGGGGCCAGGGGTCCCCCAGCCCCCCAGGCGGCCGCGCGTCCCTCCCTCCCCGCGGGGCGCGGGGCACGGGGCGCGGGGCACGGGGCGCGGGCTGCAGGCTGCGGGCGGCTACTTGCAGGTGTGCACGTCGGTCATGCTCTCACAGCGCCGGCAGCGAACGTAGCAGCACCAGATGAACTTGCACTCGCACCTCTCCACGTGCCTGACCACGTGCGTGTTGTAGCCGCGGCCGCAGCACAGCAGGTTGCAGCCGCCGGCGCCCTCGGAGGTGCGGTTGCACTCGCGGCCCCGCGTGCCCGGGATGCCCCGCTTCTTATCCTCCACGCAGTAATTGGGGGACTTGTTGACGTACAGCAGGTCGTCCTTGCGAATGGGGATCCGCCTCTGGTCTTTGTCTCTCCTGCGCATTTTCCGCTGTATTTTGTCTGAGATCTGGATACTGTGTTCGTACTTGTCCTTCAGCAGCCGCCCGATCTTCTCGAACGAGGACATGGTTTTCCAGCAGGTCTTCACGGCGCAGGAGCCCGAGACCCCGTGACAGCGGCAGTCCACCGACATGAGCTTGGCGACAGCCTGCAAGCGGCGGGAATGGACAGGGGTCACTCGCGGGGCACCGGCGGGCCTCGCCCCTCACCCTCACCCCTGCGGCCGCCCGGGCGGGAAGGGCCTCCGCAGGTGCTCAGGGTGCTCCCGCCCTGCGCTGACCCCGCGGCACGCAGCCCCCGGTCTAGGGTGGGCCAGGCTGCTCCTGTCATCAGGGAGTATCAGAGGCAGCCCAGGGAGGCCGCGCTTATTCCTTTTCGTTTAATTTTGGCTGTGAGAGGATGTTCGTGCGACCTCTGTGCTCCCGAGGCCATCACCTGCACTCAGGGTGTGACTCACCGACCAGCAGCACCAGCCTCACCTGGGAGAAAGGCAGATTCCCAGGCCCCACCCCAGACTCTGCGTTAAAAGGAGACTCCGGGGTGACTCGTATGCACGTGAAGATTTGGGGAGCAATGGCAGGACAGTCGCCCCGGACGCACAAGGGCGATACAGAAGCATCCGGGTGGGTAGCTTTACCAATAACTGATGCTCCAACCCCCAAGAGTCTGATTGAATAGGCCGAGGCGGGGTCCAGGCCGTGGCCCCTCCGTAAGGCTGCTCAGATGACCGCGGTGGGCATCCGAGCATGACATCTGTGGAACTGAGCACTCTCAGGTTCATCACAGTCTACCGTGGGCCTGGGGGGAGGGGGGGGACCATGTTATCCTCTGGTCACAGGCCACGTGAGAAACCCTGACTAATCAACTTAAGTTGGTCAAAAGGAGAAGGGGCTGGAGAGTGTGGTTGCTCCCAGCACATTCTTCCCCTCTTCTGGAAAATTAATTCGAAACATACGCCCTACTCTTGATGGATCAGTAGCACCATCCTAACCTAGAAGAGGGATAATAGATGTATGTGATTTTTCAATTCCAAGCGCTGAGTTTGGTTTATTCAGACTCAGGAATTAAATGAAATTACATAGATCTGTAGGAGCCCCCTGCCTGGCCCACATCCGAGTCTGAATAAATGTCCCCTCTCCCTGAAGAAGAAGGTAGAGGAAGAGCGGAGAGAAAATTTTAAAAGGGGGCTAACAGGGCAAAAGCAATACAGAGGTTTCAAGAATTTCAAGGTTCTCATCTGTTACGCACCAGGCTGGTGAGCACAGCTTCCTTCAATCCCCAGAGGATGGCAGGGCAGATCAATAAATCGCCAGGACTAGCTACCGCGCTGACTGTTCTGTCAACATGCTGGGTAAAATGAAAAATTGATCTGTCCACTCGGTAGCTTGGAAATTACGTGTGTAATCTCACCAAAGAAGGGGAAAACCTCGCGGCTCAAGTTCCACTTACGGTTCTTATCAAAACTATAAAATGACAGGGGTCTACGCTTTGCTATTTTAAACCAAACCCGACGCTGACATGTTTGTGGAATGTTATGTTCCCTAACAAATGAAAGTTTCTGAGCCATCTAGTGAGACGGAGGATTCCGGACGATTTATAATATCTGCAACCTTGAGCGAGAGCATATGGTATTGATTTGTGCAATATTCGATACTTCTTATTAGCGTTTAGAATAATAAACGGGATACTATTTAAACCCCGTCCTTTACAGAACAGAGCACATATGCTCTTTTTGAATTCACAAAACCGAGAAGCAAGTAGCTAGGTCTATATTGTATATAAGGGAAATACAGACCCTTCCAGGCAGGCAAAGGATACCTTCCGAGGATATGAGAGCGATTCAAAGAGTATGGCACAAAAAAATAAAGTATGGCACAAGGGCTTATTTGCTTAAATTTTCGGCATTTGATATTCACAAATACTTCAATTCTTTAAAATGTCTCCAGGCAAATAAATGTTCAAATGAACGCCACCTTCCTACGTTTGTTCAGATTTTAAGGGCTCAGCGGATTAGGAGAAAAAGAGCTCGGTGAGTACTAGGTAAGAACAAAACAAATTGTCCGAAGAAAGCCAAAAATCTAAGCATGTCTGTTTGTGTATTTAAACCTGATCAGCATTCCTCGCAGTCATCGCTTAGCGATTTAAAGCTGCCTCTCGCTCGGGATCTCACTGCGGGGCCGACTTCTCCCAGTACAGACATCACCAATGGTGTTGCCAACTGGCGGGAGACAGCGTAGACGCTCACCAAATACTTGTTAGAGTTAGGCCAGCTCACTCGAACGGACTTAACTCCTTCTCCGTGGGTGACCTGGATCGGAGGGAAGAACTAGAGACCACCTTGAACCAAGGAGTCACGGCCGTGGGAGTCAATGGTAGGGGGACCTCGGTCCCGCTGGGGTTCTCCTCTCGCTGCTCAGCCCGCAGCAGGGTTGGTCCCCAGGGACACGTGACGTCACAGGTTGGATGGATAAAAAGAGACCCGGATTTTCAAATCTGATGAAACCAACCTGTGGAATGTGGATCAGAAAGAATATGGGGAGGATTTTCCTGCCATAGGAACACTAAGATCTTTGAAATACCTGGAGTAGATTACATTTTCCAGGGATGATATTTTCCCGTAGTATTCTGTTACCTTTCGATTCCATTATCTTCTTGTGCTTAACAAGAAGTATAAAAATAGTATTTTTACCATATATATTTTATCATATAAATATCTTATCGCATATATTATTTTATTTTATATATGTTTTTACCATGTATGTTATCATATATATAGCCTGGGACAGAAAGACAAATAAACTACAAGGAGAAGCATGCCAATAACTTGACATGCAATTTAAATGATTATAGCCCCAAAAAACTCTAAGGGAGAAACTTGGACAAATAGAGATTAAAATAAAGCAATGTAATCACCACTCGGAGAAGGTGATGAAATGGAGAGTTCAAGGGTAGATCACACACTCTCTCTCTCTCTCACACACACACACACACACACACACGGTTTAAGCGCAGAATTTAAGTGTTTCTCAGAGCACCTTCGCATCAATGATTTTACTTGATTTAGTTTTATGGGAAGAAATACCTCGCCCGCAGTAGGTCATTGATGAACATGTACTTACATATTATCCCAGTTTTACCAAAAACCAAACAGCGTGGTTAAGACACTCACTCGTATCAGGAAAGTTGGTGACATAAGATATAAAGTCTTTATATCCGGCAGGAGAATTTCGGTAGAAGAGAGAAAAATCAAAGTGGAAAAATGGAGTATATCTAAGGAAATTGCACAACCACTCCACGAAAAGGTATGTTCTGGGGCCGTGTGGCTGGGATTCTTGATTAACGTCAAATAGCCATTCTGAGCTGCGGTGATAGTCTTTTCCTGCTAACAGGAGAAGAAAGAGGGGAGCAACCGTCTGAGTAGCATGTGGTTATGAGAAAATTCTTTTCTCTACTCCAGTTGAGTTGTTAGGGTTTATAACGATATTAACAGAGGAATGTTTTGTGAACTATTGCAAACAGATGTGCACATTTTGGAGGAATATTTTTAAACTATGGGAGAGCAATTAGGAGGGTAGCATTTAATTTACTGGGCTCTTTGTGTTAAGTTTTGGTTTGATAAACTTCTAATGAACTGAACTAGGAAAGACATATCCGTAACTCTTAACGTAAATATAGGAACTACTTAAGACCTGGGCTACGGCGTGACTGGTGCCACCATTTTGGCTCTGAGGTAACACGGCGGGCAATGATTGTTTCCCAGTCTATTGCTTTATCCAAAGTTTACAGAAGTGACCCAAAAAACTGTTGTGGAACATTTTGTTACGAGCAGTTCATTTTGTCAACTATCAAACGATCTGGTTAAGTTTTTAGGAAAGCTGTGACATAAGGTTGGATGGTTGGATGTGGAATTCCTACTCCTCTGACCCATTTTGTCTCATTCAGTCCAAAAATATATTTGAACCTTCTGAAAGGCAAAACACTTATGTGTTGTTCAAGTACTTATAAATATTCTTGAAACAGGTCAATGAACATTTGGGGTTGGGCCCTTCCCACTTTTTTGAGTTACTCATCATAAAACAAATTATGGGGTAGGGAAACTTAAAAGTTTATGAGGTGGACATGGGAAGAATGGAAATATTTTAAGCACACCAAAAGAAATACCCATAAATATTCCAAGTCACATTATTCCCAGAAGTTCTGCCCCTGGAAGACATCACATCATTCTGTGAGCCAATCAGCATTCAGCAACATTATTCTTGGAGTCATAACTTTAGGAATGGTGTCAGAAACCAAGTGGGAATCAGAGTACTTAAGGTCAGCGGTTAGAAAGTCATCTATCCTGCTCACAGCACTACTAAGCGCCAGTACCCACATTTCTCTGAACGCTTTCCTACATTTTGATTTTGGGATTTTGAGACCAGGAAAATCGACTCAATTGAATGCAGACCTTGAACTTTACCCAGAAGAATATGCCTATTCGATTAAAATCCTAATCGCCAATCTTAAAAAAGGAGTTGATGGTTCACCCATGTTAGATAATAGCCTGCAAACTTGGTTGGTTTTGCTGTTGCTGTGGTGATGATGGTGGTGATGGGGGTGGGGGTTGTTTTTGGCCACCCAGTGGAAAGAAAAACACAAAAATGCTTTCAGTTGTAATACTTTCTGAAAAAAGACCAACCAAAACACCGGTCCAGGTAATATTTTGTGATATTTTAAGATTGTATCTAGACCAATGAGGAACAAAAAGATTCGGTAGAGAGAACACTGACTTTTGAACAAACTGTATATATACATATAGGCTGAATTATTTTCTGCATTATTAGAATAACAGCAGAAACCCCAGTAATGTGAGAAGATTGTTTTTGCCAACAAACACAGTGGATTAAAATTGAGGCTAAAGAGTTGCATGTTTTTAATAAACTCAGAATATAAATAATAGTTTAAGATCAAATAGTTACAGAGGCAAATACTGCTACTTAATTTGAAACAACACACAAGACAGAATAAAACTGAATAGCTGCCTAATGATACCAATAAAAAGATGAGCGCTTCCAAGCTTCTCACAAGTTTGGGGATAAGCATTCTTCAAGGGAATTAATTATGACATGAATTTCCAAGTTCCGTTTTCTAGTTAAATTTTTAAAAATCTCTACCAAATTATTTGAAGAATGACTAAAGAAGATTTAAGATCCAAATTGATAATAAATATTCATTTAATTGTTTTTTGTTTGTCTTTAAAATATATTAATTTGACTAATTTGACTTATTTTAATGTCTTTCTCATTTTAACTCTAGAGTTTTAAAGAACATGTTAAAAAATGTAAAACTGTATTTAACCTCTTTCATAGTCGTGTGTCAGAAATAATTTCAAAAATCCTTTATCGGAGAATATTTAAATTGAGGCAGAAACCCATTCTTTGAATTTTTTTTTCCTGCAAAACTTTAAGGAGAAGGGACATGTGCATACCTGTGGTGTTAAACAAGAGTTGCTTTAACGTGCTCAGTTACACTTTAAAATTTCTAAACAAAAATATGAAAAGCCTACCCAGCTATTTACTGACCTCCCTAGTTCCTATTTTGCTATTTAAAAGCAATATTCAAATTGAACTGAAAATTTAAATTTGAATCGAAGTGTTCCGGTGATAATAACATTCATGGAGTTTTCTGGTTTTATTCTAAACCAGAGTGCTTAAGTAAAGAAAGCTGGCTGAAACCTGCACCTATTCAAAGTGGGTTCCATTTATTATTCACTTTCCAAAAATGTAAAACAAATGCAACATACAACTTTAAATATTCCTGACTCAGATACTTGTTTTAATTTATTTCAGGAGACTGAGGCAGATTGCAATGACCGCTCTGGGACTTTTACAGATTATTGGATATTTACAATAATATAGGATACGTGCTGATATTCCTGTCCTGGAAAGATTATTACGGCATAGAAAATGTCTATCTGTAAAAATGTTTTGACCGTTTTAGGAAAATCACTACGAACTGCCAAGTAATTCGGCTATGCTGCAGAACTCAAACTTTATTGTGTCAATATTCATTAAAATAAACGTTAAATAAAAGTTAAATTAAGCTACAAATTTATTTCATTTTAAGAAAATTCAGTATGAAAAACCAGAATTCATAAGAGTTTCGTTAGATGGTGGTTCTTTAAACTTGTCTATCCCTCAATCTTTAATATGTACTTAAATTATCCATACATCTTATATATCCATAGCTTCTTTACACTTACCTGCATTGATCGTTTTGTAACAATGCATCTATTTCATTTTATAATAAAATAACGAATCCTCTTTAAAAAAAAAAAAAGCCTTTGTTTTACCAAAATGTTAGTTAAAAGATGTGTATTCCCGGAGGTATTCAAGAATGTTTGCTAGAGAATGTAAGGACAAATTGGTAACATGTTTAGGAGCCACTGCCCACTAAAAATAGATTTTAAAAGATCAGAATTCAAATTTGGGATGGAATCTTATTCAGTCCCATTAGAAAGGCAGATGCTATAGATCTTATTCTGGCTCTCTCACTAACCAGCTAAGGGGATGGAACAAAATGACCCAAAAACGTATGTGTACATCTATTATTTTATAATTCAGTGCTCTGGGTATACAAAATACAAAATCACCAATAGAGCCTATAATGAGATTCGACTCCTATCAGATGGAGGAGGACTTAAACTAAATCAATGCAAACGTTACACACGTACAATAAACACGTATATATCACACATATGCATGACACGTATATTTCTTAGACTGCAAATATATGTTTTTTAAGGCATTTGGACTGATTCACTCAGAAGTGTCATCCCAGTGTTATTTACTAAAGGCTCAATGAGGTATCATTCCAGTTTCTCATACATACCTGCCTTCCAGCTTCGTTGTTGTGCAGGTTCATTGCTAACAGTACTTTGCTTTCTTTTCCTGTGGTGTTTCTGATGGGGAAATCTAGGAACTTTCTGCTGAACCACATGCCATACTGGACATCATCAGAGCAGCCCCCCCAGTGCCAGCCTTCGCTCGCTGAGCCACCGTTCTGTAGGGTGGTGTCACAGGAGCACTCCGTCATGTTGCCGGCACTGCATGACCTGGTCACAGAATGCACCAGGCCTGCAGCCATCACAGCATAAATAAATGCTGTTTCCTTGGTGCCTAGAACAAAACATAAATTGCTGAATGAAAGAGCCGTATCTCTGTCTGGTTTTGTCCATAACAAATCTTCCTACTTATCCTCTTAGCAGGGAAGTGATTTTTCGATTGCTTTCGATAGACGCTTTAATGAGCATGTATTTATAAAGGACAATTTCAAATTGTTTTAGTCTTTTAAAAAGGCGACATTAATTTTCAGTATTCCACTCTGGGGGGGGGGATTTTTATATATTGCATATCATAAATTGTCCTTAGAATCATCCGCTCATTTAAAACATTTGAAATGGATGCCAGCACCCCGTTAGTGCTTAATAGACAACTGAAGTCCAAATCCGTGTTGAATTTAAATAGAAGTTCAAATCCGTGTTGAATTTAAAATCCTTTGCATGGATACGGCAAATGGTAACACGATGCCCCAAAAGAGTCCAGATTACGCTCATCTTTAAATTTCAAATGTGTTTTCACGAAACACACGCCGAAAAATCTGCTGTGATTTTTTGTTTGTTTGTTTGTATAAATAATACGTATCTCAACGCAAACTAGAGTTAAGTAAAGGCCAAAGCGGTCAGTAGATGTCACAGTTTACTTTCATATCAAAGACTGGTCTTTTTTCTTTTTTCTTTTTTTTTTAAGAATGCGTTATAAATAACAATCACACATATTAATACAAAACACCTAAGTATTTTATATGATAGCAGCTAATCCTCTTACAGGCTTAAAGACAGTGAAAGAATCGAAACGTCACCAGAAAAAATAAAAAAAGAGACGTCCTGGAAGATGATCGAGTGTGGATTCAGCACACCTGCAATAAGGCTTGAGCTGCAACGTCTGCGAATTAAAGTCCCATTAGGACATTAGTGAAAGGGGCTGGAAGAGACTCAGCAGGTGACCTTTTGGTCCCCTGGGATGTGAGGAGCCGAGTGGGTCGCAGGCTCCCGGGCGGGGCCGATAACCCTTTCCAGCGGCTGACGGCCTCGCATTCCAGCAACTGGGACTTTTCTTCATCTCTCTTCTCCGCCTCCTCGTTTCTCCGTCCTTTCCCCTCCTTGTTCCTTCTCCTGGGCCTTCCTCCTCCTTCCTCCGTCTCCCTCCTGCGGGGTCGGGGCCCCGGGGCAGACGCGGGGTGCGGGGTCGGGGTCGGGGTCGCGGGGGGGCGCGCGCGGACGGCAGCAGCGGGGACCCCTGCGGCGCCCGGTTCTGCGGCTGCGGGACGGCGGGAGGCCCGCAGGGGGGCGGCGGGGGGGGGGCGGCCAGGTGTGTCCTGCGCCCCCCGCCGGGCGCCGCGCCCCGTCCCGGGAGCCCCGCGGGCGGCGCACCTGCAGCTCCTCCCGCTCGCGGCCCGCGGCGGCCCCCGCTCGCCCTCCCGGGGCGGCCCCCTCCCGCCCCCCGCGCCCCGCGCCCCGCGCCGCGACTCACCGCTGCTCAGCTCGTAGCCGAAGAGGGGGCCCGCGCCCGGGGCGGCGGCGGCGGCGGCGGCCAGCAGGCAGTTCCAGCGCTCGTGTCGGAACTGGCTCCGGCACTCCTGGATGCCCAGGCGCGCGCCCTCGCCGATGCTCGGCAGCAGGTGGGGCTTCCGCCGGCACAGCTCCTGCTGGCGGCCGCTCAGCGGCAGGGCGGCGCAGCCCAGCTTCTCGGGGGCCCCGAACGGCGCGACGCCCAGCCACCTGCGGACGGGCCGCGTCAGCCGCCCCGACCCCCGCCCCGACCCCCGCCCCGCAGAGAGCCGCCCCTGCGCCCGGACCCCCGGCCCCGGACCCCCGGCCCCGGACCCCCGGCCCCGGACCCCGCCTCCGCCGCCCCTGCGCTCCTGCGCGCGGACCCCGACCCCGGACCCCGCCTCCGCCACCCCTGCGCTCCTGCGCGCGGACCCCGGCCCCGGCCCCCGCCTCGGCGCCCCTGCGCCCGGACCCCCGGACCCGGACCCCGCCTCCGCCGCCCCTGCGCTCCTGCGCGCGGACCCCGACCCCGCCGGCCCTGCGCGCGGACCCCCGGCCCCGGCCCCGGCCCCCGCGCCCGCCCCGCCGCCCGCGCTCACATCCAGTCGCCCCGGGCTCCGCCGGGCAGCAGCAGCGCGAGCAGGGCTGCCCACAGCGCGCACAGGCGGGCGGGCCCCGGGAGCGCCGCTCCGCCCATGGCCCCGCGCCCCGCAGCCCCGGCGCTCCGCTCCGCGCCCCCCGAGCCGGAGGCGGTCGCGCGCTCTCCCTGCAGGCGGCCGAGGCCAGGCGAGCGGCGGCCTCCCCGCGGGGGGCGGCGAGCGGGGCCGTCGGGCGGCGGGCGGCCGGGGTCGGGGAGGAAGTGCCGGCGCGAGCGGCGCCTCCATGGCCCCCGCCCCGCCCCCCCGCCGCGGCCGCGCCCCGAGCCCCATTGGCCCCGCACCCCGTCCTGCCGGGCCTCGGGCTCCCATTGGCTGCGCCGCCTCCGCGGGGGGCCGGGCCGCTGCCCCGGACGGCGCGTCCGCACCCTGCGCGCTGGGCCCCGGGGGCGCCCCGACCCGCCGGGAGGGCGGCGGGGGCGCCGCGGGAGGTGGCTGGGGCCGCCCCGGGGTCCCTGCGCCCTGGCGCCCCCGCGGAGCGGCCGGAGAGGTCCCTGCCCGGCTCCTTCCCGCCCTTCCCCGGCGGCGGCGGCTTCAGCTTCGGCTTCGGGGCGCGGCGGGCGGCGCACAGCTGGCCCGAGGTCCCGCGCCGCGGGGGCGCTAACGGGGGCGCCAACCCGGGAGGCGCTAACCGGGGGGCGCTAACCCGGGGGCACTAACGCAGGGCGCTAACGGGGGGCGCTAACCGGGGGCGCTAACCGGGGGGCGCTAACCGGGGGGCGCTAATCGGGGGCGCTAACGGGGGGCGCCAACCCGGGAGGCGCTAACCGGGGGCGCTAACCGGGGGGCGCTAACTAGGGGCGCTAACGGGGGCGCCAACCCGGGGGCGCTAACCGGGGGCGCTAACGGGGGGCGCTAATCGGGGGCGCTAACGAGGGGCGCCAACCCGGGAGGCGCTAACTGGGGGCGCTAACCGGGGGGCGCTAACCGGGGGGCACTAACGCAGGGCGCTAACCGGGGGGCGCTAACCGGGGGGCGCTAACCGGGGGGCGCTAACCGGGGGGCGCTAACGGGGGCGCCAACCCGGGGGCGCTAACCGGGGGGCGCTAACCGGGGGCGCTAACCGGGGGCGCTAACGGGGGCGCCAACCCGGGAGGCGCTAACCGGGGGGCGCTAACCCGGGGGCGCTAACCGGGGGGCGCTAACGGGGGCGCCAACCCGGGGGCGCTAACCGGGGGGCGCTAACCGGGGGCGCTAACCGGGGGCGCTAACGGGGGCGCCAACCCGGGAGGCGCTAACCGGGGGGCGCTAACCCGGGGGCGCTAACCCGGGGGCACTAACGCAGGGCGCTAACGGGGGGCGCTAACGGGGGGCGCTAACCGGGAGGCGCTAACCGGGCGCGCTAACCCAGAGCGCTAACGGGGGCGCTACCCGGAGCCCGGGAGCCGCGACCTTGGGGGCCCGCTGTTCCCAGGGACGCGGAGGTGCAGGCGGAGGGCAGGGCTGGGGCGCCCCAGGGCTCGGCGGGGCGCCCCGCAAGGGGAGGCCGCGCCCCTACCCCGGGCCTCGGACGGGCCACACACCCAAGGCACGGCCTAACCCCTGCTCGCTCGCCCGCCGAGGGCCCAGCCCTGGGGCTCTGCCAGGACAGGGTGCCCTCCCCCCCCCCCCCCCCCCCCGGGTTCAGGAGCCCAGACAAGGCCCAAAGGAAGTGATGGGAACTCTTGGTGCAGGAGAACATAGGCTCCAGCCGCCGGCCCTTTGGAGCCACAGACTTGGGAAGCCAGACAACGCTTGGCGCCTGGCAGTTTGGGAAACTGAGTCACCCAGTGCTTCCCAGGATAGAGGACCCCTGGCAGAGGCCCGAGGGCGAGCACGGCCTGGCCTCGCCTCACCGACCCGGTGACCTGGAATGCTTCCGAGAGGCGTCACCTGCGCCCCGGAGGTCGCCTGACATGGGGGACATTCGCACGGTACCCAGGCCAGCTCAGCGGACACGGGATCCAGACTTACTCATAAAAGGTTGGCTTCACTGGCCTCAGCCTCAAATAAAGGATTGCATTATGCTGCGTCTCTCCTGTATCAGCCCAGAGCAATAAAAGCTCACTGGAGTTCCCGTCCCGTCCCAGTCCCGTCCCATTTGTTCCTTTATCCAACAAATATTTGTTGAGTGAACGCTATGTACCAGGTCCTAAAGCCACATTGTAATTTTTAGAGAGTCAAGTTGATGATAGGGTGTAGTTACTGATCCAGAAATATTTTGGCTAATGGCTAGTGGCCTCTCTCGAAATCAGAGCCTTCCTCTAAGCTCACTTTATTCTGCGAGCCTCTCCTGGGGGGACCTCGGAGCACTGGCTGCTGTATCCCCAACATTGGGCCCAGTGCATGAAATCTTGGTTTTGAATACAATTTGTCGAGTGGATTACCCCGAGGAGGAACGCCCCGGGCACATACCCAAGGCGCTAAAGGATGAAACAAGAGAAATGACATCCTTGGGGGGGGGCAGGGGGACATTAACACCTAGGGGTGGGATCCCTGGGTGGCGCAGCGGTTTGGCGCTTGCCTTTGGCCCAGGGCGCGATCCTGGAGACCCTGGATCGAATCCCACGTCGGGCTCCCGGTGCGTGGAGCCTGCTTCTCCCTCTGCCTGTGTCTCTGCCTCTCTCTCTCTATCTCTCTGTGACTATCATAAATAAATAAAAAAAAAATTAAAAAAAAAGAACTTTCTTAAAAAAAAAAACACCTAGGGGTTATTCTGTCCCTACCTCCAAAGCAAAGGATACTTTTTTCTAGGAGTTGATGGAATTGAAGAAATACACTTTTCATCCAATGAAGGGACAGCTGAGGGCCTTTTTTATCCCCCCAAGGCGTTGTGAACACTCCTGCGCTGACAGCCTCACAAGCACCTCCAGCATTCAGTCTCTGTCTCTCTCGGTATCTGTCTCTCCACGCAAAATTTCAACTGCCCCCCCATTAGTACTCATTTAATAAACAAAAAAAAAAGAATTTGGAGTGGTTAAAGACTTGTTCAAGATCCCTCAGCTGGTAAGTACTACCGTGAAAAATCAGTCTTAATTTCAGAAGACTTGTTCTTTCCCTTTTTTCTTTTTTCTTTTTTTTGATATTATTTATTTATTCATGAGAGATACAGGCAGAGGGAGAAGGGAGAAGCAGGTTCCCTGCGGGGAGCCTGATGTGGGGCTGGATCCTGGGACCCTGGGGTCACACCCTGGACCAAAGGCAGACACCCCACCGCTGAGCCACCCAGGCGTCCCAGCCTCGTTCTTTCCACTACAATATGCTGGTGCATAACCTGATTCACAAGGTTTTTTTGTTTTGTTTTTTTCCTGATTAAATCCCACATCCCTGGGCCTCGGAATCTAAATCTCTCTTTTGTGTCCCGCGGTTCTCTGTGGTTTACTGAGTTGTCCTGTTCTCTGAAGGTAAACAAAACCCACAGGGGGGCTCCATGAAGTGGGTGTCATCGAGGCAGGTGTCCCTCTGCATGGACATTTGGCGATCTGGTTTTTGTGGACGGGAGGAGCCGTGCGGAGGGTGGCGGGCGAGCTGGGCGTTGGGGTGCCTGCCGGTCAGCCAGCGACAGTCCAAGAAACGTCAAGACTGAGCCTCAGTTTTCTCAGCTTTAAGATGACGACCAACCGTCAGACCTGAATCTCCTACTAGATAGAGTTCCAGTAGGGCTGGAGGGAGGGAGGCGGGGTGTGTGGGGGGGGGCGGGGGGGGACTGCATAGTGGATTTGCGCTCTCGCGAGGAAGATGAACCTTATTCATCGACTAGGCCATGTCTACCTGGGTGCTGGCCCGGTTTCCAGGCTGCGGCTAGAGTTTTTTGGCATCTCCAGTTCTCATTTTGCTTCTGGATTTCGATGAAAGTCAATTATTTTAATTGCAGAAATCGTTTAAAAATGGTTGAACGTTCAAATACATTATAATCTTGCCAGGCCATTTGAAATTTTATTTCGAGAAGAAAAGAAGTTGGATTTTCATTCTAGAAGAGGAAAGGGAAGACTTCTTTCGTGATCTAATTTATATTCCTAATAGAAAGTGGCCCATCTCTACTATCACGAGGGAGGAGTAGTATTTCTCTCTTTGGAGAGAAATAAAGTAAACGGTGGGTAAAATCCAAGCATATACACAACTGCACATTGCAGATTGTCAATTTTTTAAGCAGCAAGCAGAAGCTTTATTAGTTTCCTAATTTGAAGGGGGGACAAAATACTGACTGGCCAATGGAACATGACTTGAGGGTTTACTGTGTTCCGCAAGCATTTCCGAGCTTATGGTGCCCCTATCTGTAAAATAGTGCAAAGGTCACACCATCCGTTGTTCACAAACACCTAGTGACGTCAGCTACCTAAACCTGATGGATGCTAAGAGAAGCACCGCGGGAGTCCAAGTTCGCACAGGTTATCAAAGCATCTAGAGCTTTTTTTTTTTTTTTTTTTTTGCATCCAGAGCTTCTTGATTCCACGAGGAGGGTGTGTATTTGAACCTGCTTTCCTAGCAGGGGTAAGGGGTTTTGAGCTATATTCCTGAAAAGGACTTTGTGGGATGGGGAGCCAGATCCCGAGCACATTCATTCGCCCAGAAGTGCCCTCTTCGAGGGCCTGGACCTGTCGTGCCCCGGGTCCCCTGTGACCAGCGGGCCGATGGATAAGGAGTTGGCTGGCCGTAGATCCTCCTGCTGCCCACTCAGGACGGAGGCAGACTGTGGGCTGTGGGACCCAGCGGAGCCTGGTCCCCGGGCGCTTTCCTCTCAGTCCCTGGGAAACTCAGCAGCAACGTCTGTGGGCACAGATGGGCCTTGGCCTCTGCCTCTGGCTTCCGAGGGCCCGTCTAAGGATTTCTGCCGCAGATCGCAGGGACTTAGGTCCTGGAAAGTGACCCCAGACGCACCCGGCTGTCTTAACTCTGTGATGGGACAGCAGACCGGAGGTGGCTTTTCACGTAACCAGGTCCCCATCCGTCCTATTTGAAGTCTCACCTGGAGGCCCCCGGTGTGTGGAACGGAGCGCGGGCCGTGCCTCCAGGCCGTCCGGCGGGCTGGAGCGCAGCATCGCTGCCCTGGCGTCCTTCGGTGGCCCGGAGGGTGGCCACGGAGGACGGGCCTGCAGCAGCCAGGCCACCAGAGGCAGACCCGGGAGCAAGGGCGGGAGCTGAAACTGGCCGCTGCCTGCTGTTTAGACTTCCCCCAGGGAGGGCGGGGGTTGTCTGCT